CATAGACAGTTCTTTAGAGTCATTCAACAAGCTGAGCCCAGAGCCCGTAGCTCTGTCTGCCTGTACTTCTTTTCTGTCTCGCTGTTACATGTCTACAGCCTACACCACGTCTGCTCCTCTGCATATACTTGCCATGTAATGCACTGAGTGTGCTCACCCTCAGCTCTCACAGGAAACTGAGGGTTTGTCTTTGCTAGAATTTGAATTGTCTGTGCCATGTGTTGTACACGGAATGTTCTTTACCACATTTTCTCACAGCAGTAAAACTGATGTCCACCAATTAATTTTGAAGTGAAACTGAATTATGGGTGGCCATTTCTTGCCATCCCACATTCGGATAACCTGTGTTGTTATCTGTCATACCAATTTCTGTGGCTAATTTGTGTATGGATGTGGACTTTCAGAGGACTCTGAATATTGATTTTGAATAAAAAGGTCTGCTTAACCTGACTTACAAGTTCTTCTTGAGTTCCTGAAGGGAAATCTCAGTGGACCAGGACCTCACCTATTAACTCCTTCTTTTTTATGATCTACCTGCTTTTCTCCATGATCTCAGGCCATATGGGTTGGCTACAAATCCAAACAGGGCATAAATATCTCAAATCCCATGAACAACTATTGAAATAGGAAAAATCAGAGTGAAAATAAAACCCAAAAATGTAAATTCAAATTAAAAAACTTGACATGGTTGGACTTAATGATCTTAATGGTCTTTTCCAACCTGAAAGATTCTGTGATTGTATGATAGAAACTAGCTAATGTCCGAGCTGGCTTTCAAACAGATTTATTTTATGCAACATTGTAACATGGTTTTGTTTGTGGGTTTTTTTTTTTAATAATAGGCTTAAAAAAAAATCAAATACATGCTGGTGACCAGGAGTGCGAAAGAAAGGCTCAAACAAAGGAAAGACTTGAAAGTACTAAGAATAAAGAATGATGGGAGAAAACAAAATGCAAAGAGAAAGCAACATACTTTTAATCATTAAATAATCTTTGACCTAAGGGTATCATGAAGATATATCAAGTGAAATAGAAAGTAAAAAACCTGGCTGTATCCAGAAAGAGTTGATTATTTGGTTTTGAAGAAGAGAAATAGACATCAAATTGTGCCAAGGAAGAAAAGGGAGTTTGATATGTAGTTTAAACATTAGACATAGCCAGTAAAAGAGGAAGGAAGAAAGATCCAAATAGCTGAGGTTAGGGGTATGATATTTAGAAATGCAAATGTGAAAGTGAACTGTGGCAAGGATGCTGTACAGGCGGAAAAGAGTGAAAGAGATGAAAGGTAAAGGGAATGGTTTAGGTGAAGATACTAAATGTCAAATTGACAATCTCAAAAGTACAGAACAGAAGGGACCACTGACTGAAGGCAAAAATGGAGACACCTGAAAGTAGAGAAAGATTACGTGGTTTATTAACAATTCTCTCAGACATCCCAGGCGACTGCTAGAAAAAGCACTCCTCACCCTCCTCTACGAAAAGAAAATATAAACAGAAAGATGGACATAATAAATATTCTCAGCTAAATGAAGCAAAGATTCGGGAAGGCCACTAAATACAGCAATGGAGAAATTCGGGCCTGAGATCACGAGCATGTGTACCAAGAGGGTGATAGCAGCTGATACATCATATGATTCAAAAATATCACCTGCAAAAGATAATATTACAAACAGGGAGAGTATGGAGAAAAGCAGCTTGCTAGAAGGTTGTGCCAATGATCCTAACGCTAACACTGGAATATCAAATGATAGAAGGCAATCACTGAAAAAATGTGTAAAAGGAAAGAACATAATTTTAAATAGCAAAGTATCATAGTGCATCATTTATACAGCTTAGAAGTACAAGGCACCAACCCCACTAGAAGAAAGCAGTGGTTTCAGTAAGGTGTCTCCTTGTATGCATGATGCCAAAATGACTTTGAGGATGCTTTTGATTATATCAAACGTACTTCCTAAATATTTTTTTCAATTTTGGCCTTGTTTGGAAGTCAGTTGTATTTTTAAAGCTTCATACTTTCCATTCATGCCTCTAGAAGTCACCTTGTGGTACTGAAAGTGACCTCACTGACTAGATGCCAAAGCACACAATTATTATCTAACCATAGCATAAAGTGGAAAAGCATACAGCAAAATCATGTAGTTGTCCAAACTAATATCTGAAGTATTAGAGTAAATGGCAGCCCTAGTAACCTGCCTTTTGTAGGAAAGGTTCTTCTTTTTAAACACGGCGCAGTCTAAAGCAATATTTTAACTTTCCCACCAGAAGATTCTACTCCAGATATAAGAAGTCTGTGTCCTGGTGGTTTACCTAGACACTGTGAAAAAATGTCTCGTTCTAACTGTGTACACAGGCTAAAATGACTAACGTTTACATAGCTACCACTTCCTTTTTTGCTGCTAGCATTTTGAATCTGAGGAGTCTGCATTTCCCTGTGAACAAACACCTGAAAGAGCAACAAGCTTCAAAATGGATTTTACGTTCTCTGTTTGACTATAAATGTGACCAAATTCCAAGTGAAAAGAGATACTTGGCCTCCTCAATAATTTTGAAAGCTATAGCATTAGAATATAAAGTGCCTGACCTAAAAAAACAATTTCGGTGAGTCCATTTTTGCTTTGTTTCTCAGAATGGACTAGGTGGCTAGGAAAAAGTCATATATGAGAATCATAGAATCATATTCTCTAAAGATACAGGATTTTGATGGGTTCTATGTTTTGCAAAGCAAGTTCCACAATTCACCTTCAAAGTCCAGGCCAAATTAGTAAATCCTTCCTGTAGTTTTCATGAGGGAGTATGACAATACTCAGCAATTTACTTCCTTCATTATCAGCTACCAACATTATTTCCTATCTCCTGATTTTCTAAGTCTCATACTGCTTATTTACAAAGTTTTTCTTATTCACATCTGACACTTTCACACTCAGAATTTTCTTAGAAGGAACAAAGAATCTCCTTATCTGGATCGTGGGTCAATGAGTTCCACAGAAGTAAAATCTTAAAGAGTAAACACCTTTACTGTATACAAAATAGATGTTTTTTTCCTAAACTTGCCTTTAGCAGGGGCTGTTGCAAAGAAAACCACAGATTTTAAATCAAAATATTACTATAGGAAAATTATCCATAGGGCTCTGTGCAATTTATTAACTTTGGATAAGCTTAGACAAAATAAAAAATACTTCTCATAAGCTTGTCCTAAATTATTTGAGCAATGAAAATGTATTGATTTATTTGATACAGCTTCTGAATTTAAAAGACTTTGCATCTGTACTTTAAAACAGATAATGCAGAAGGGTACCTCTTTCACAGACTCTGTAACTGGGTGGGACTTTATTTACTGGAATTTCAACAGAAATTTCTTATTTTATCAGAATATCCTTTGGATGGAATTCACATCAGATATTTCATAACAACACTTTTTTTATAGGGGTTCTAGCCATAGGCATTTTCTCATTAGCGTCATCCCCCCCCCCATATTTTCACAGTCTTCCAACAATTTGATTCATTTTCTGAAATGCTTATACAAATGGATAAAATGTCCTCCACCAGAAAGATCAGTCAACAAAACTTTAGCCAAACTATTTATTGAAAACTGAAGATTCAAATAAGCAAGAGATTGTTTCTCACGGCTTATAGGCACCATAATAGATTCTTTATTACCCAGGTTTCCTAAAGGGCTTCCATGAAATATTTTCTTCTTCCTCTAAATTAGAAGAATTATCTCTAACTTTTGAAAAAATTAAAATTGATCGATATGGAAAATATTTTAAATGGGTTTTGAAAAAACCATATCCATGAGCAGTACGTCTCATATAAATTGAGATTTTTGGCTCTGGTATGATTACATTGCTTGAAATGCATACTTGAAGATGTGTAAATGTACTGAGATTTACCCAACACTGCATTCACGCAAACAACACCCCTGCATGTGGTACTTATAATACAAAACCACATTGGTGCATTGAACCCTAGAGCAAAATAATCAAGAGTTGGTAAGGGTTTGAGTGCAGATACTGCATTAGCTGGTTTTGTTCTGTATTTACTGTAGAAATAAATGGAGTTGCACAGAAGGACCTACATCAAATCCAAATACCAGAGAGGCTGAAGGGGAGAGAATGACCTTCCCTTTTGACCTCTTCAAAGAGCAAGTAAAGGTTTGTTTGTCTTTTGACTCTCAGATAAATGATTATGCCATTCCCGTGTATACACACATGAGTAGCTTTAAGAAAACAACACCCATCCCAAACTGCTAACTTTCTGCTGTTTATCATCTGCTGCAAGAATAAACCATGGCCAGAATTCTTGAACAAGGACAAAAAAAAGTTATTTTAAACAACCCTTAGTTCTCAGAACTTCAGCATGGGTTTTCTGTGTTACTCCATTTATTGTTTATGTATCAAAAGCACCAAGCAGATAAATATTTACTGTTCTGCTGTCAACAATACCAAAGACACCAGTGATACTATCACTGTGAGGAAGTGTTAAATCTCTTCCTGAAGAAAGAATTCCAAGTGGGCACTGGTTCATCCTGAGTGCATCGAACTGCTCAAAGCTTTTGCCTCAACTGTACTTACTATACTATACTATAACTATAGCATAGTTATAGTATAGTTATATATAACTATATATACTATAACTATAGTAAGTTATCATTTTAAAGGTTCAATTTATTTCCTCTCTCCGCCCCCAACTTTGTGTTCTTTCCTCCTGGTTTTGTGGAAAACTGCAGTTCACAGCCCTTTTCCATAATTTCAAGTTTATTTCAGTATGTACATCTGGCCGCTTGAGCAAGGCACACTAGAGAACATTGAAGCAATGCTTCTTATTAAACTGCCGTTTGTGTTTACTTATATGATTCCTTTTTATACATGAGATATATATTTCTATGTTTTTATAATTCTTTATATAATT